GCCAAGAGCCGCCAGGGAGAGGGCGGTCTAGAAGTGATTAATACTATAATAATAATACTACTAATACTAATAATATTAATAATAATAATAATAATAATAATAATAATAATAATAATAATAATAATAATAATAATAATAATAATAATAATAAAAAATAAAAAATAAAAAATAATAATAGCAATCATAATAATCATAATAATAACAATAATAATTTTAAAAATGATGATGATGATAATAATGATAATAGTAATAATAATTAATATCAATATTATTGTCACTATTGCTATTCATATTATTGTGGCGTTGATTGGCGCTCATATGACCTTATGCAGTTGCGAGTGCCGTAAAATCCTCTACTATAACTAACTAACTAATTGCGTTGATGGTCTAGTGGCTAGACTATCGTTATCGTAACCGAAAGGGCATAGGTTCGAACTTAGGGACCCGACGTTGTATCCCCGTGAAAGGCATTTTTACTCCGCAAATTTTCCTCCCTTCACCCAAGTGGGAATGGGTATCCGGCTAGCTATATATAGTCAGCGAAATATCTTGTCAGTTTGCTAGTGCTTGAGCACTTAACCGTCTGCTTGCACTAAAATGCTTCATGGGATAGTGGCTAGACAGTTGTTATCGTAACCGAAAGGGCATGGGTTCGTATCCCCGTGAAAGGCATTTTACTCCCCAAATTTTCCTAACTTCACTCAAGTGGGAATGGGTATCCGGCTAGCTATAGTCAGCTAGCGAAATATCCTGTCAGTTTGCTAGTGGTTGAGCACTTAATCGCCTGTTTGCACTAAAATGCTTCATAGGAAGCCAGAATTTTTATGAGAGTTGCGGAGTCTGCTGGGATAATAATTGTTGTAAACCGCATAGAGCATAACTGCAGAGCGTGGTATACTCAAAATAAATGCAGTTATTATCATTAGTATTACTATTATTCTCGTCTGAAAAATAACAACCATATAATTACCCAAGATCTAAGTGAGATTAATCTATTAATACGAAAGCAAGCTCGTCTACATTTCGAGACATTTGAAATAATGGATGTATTATATTATATTATTATATTATTGTTCACAAAAATCTTAAGCGGTTATATTTTCTGAACATTGACATTATAGTGGTCACGGAGAGTTTCGAACATAGACAAACGTTAGACAGAATATTAAGAGAAGTTAGGATAAGATAGGAAATGGAAATAATAAAAATAATTAAAAAAACAACCCTCCTGTACCCTGACGGGATAGATTATTACACCCACATCGAATACAAAAGAAATAGAAATAATACAGCATATTATGTGTTGTAAAGTGCAGAGAGTATGTTGTTAAACGTTGATAGATGCAGTTATTATAATAAGTATGATAATAATAATAATAACAACAATAATAATAATATAATAATAGTACTAATGATAATAATAATAACTTCTAACTCTTCTATTTCGCTGGAGAAAGTACTCTCTTCTTTGGATGTATTGGTCATCGTCAGACATTGATGGACGGTCTATCATTATTATTATTTTCATTATTGTTACATGTATTATTATTATTTTAAAAAATATTATTATCATTATTATTATTATTATTATTATTATTATTATTATTATTATTATTATTATTATTATTATTATTATTATTATTATTATCTTTATCATTATCATTATCTTTATCGTTATCATTATCATTATCATTATTATTATTATTATTATTATTATTATTATTATTATACCGCCCCTTTCAACACTTTACGGTTATTTACAAGGCTGGACCTCCGGTATTACTGTCCATCCATAATAATAATAA